GAAATATATACAGGAAATCATACATTTATGATTCATTAACAGAAGTCACGTGACCTTCTATACCGGTACACGGTCATTCATGTTTAGTCACATTAGCTATCATATCAAGTAAACACTCAACAGTACATGAACTATGCTATTGCATACACAGTCCCTCATTTCTGCAGTTCAGAGATTCCGATCTGCTGCAGGATAAAGACGCTTATCTGAGCACTTTAGATCGTAATAATATCAGTATGCCCGTTTCATTGACAGCGGCACTGCTGACACCTCCAAGTATGCCAAACATTCAGTGTACATTCTCTGTCCTTGAGACGCAGGGGCTTTTATCAGGCTCTTACCGGTGTGTGTTTGCAGCGGCCCGCAGCGCGATCCGGACGCAGTATCTGCCGCAGAACATCATGACCCGAGTGCACGACTAACCGGTTTAGTGAACGCGACAGGACGAGCAGCCTGTTTCCGAAAGCACAACTCTCTCAGCGTGTGACTGACTGTCAGACCTCCTCTAGCAGAAGCACATGGCGTCCTCCACTGGCTCTTCCTGACCTACCCACAATGCATTGCGCCGGAGGGACAAAGCTTTATTTAAAATCCTCCTGTGTCACGGTCTTTTACGAAACAAATTGTTCTTAAATAATTGTCTTAATTTAAGGATAGATCGTCTCAGAAGACAATGGGCAAAAAAGGAGAAAGAAAAAGTGCAGAACCTACACATGGGTTTTTAATATAAAAGTCTCTAAACTGAGACACATTACATAAATTACATAAAAGTCTCTAAAACAAATCCTACAAATACTTAGTTAAAATTAGTAGGCCATGTATGAAATAATGCCACTGACAGAAATTCGAAACTCGCTATAATTAATAATAGCTACAGGGTAACGCAGGTTATTCTTCTAGAGACGGCTCTCTGTTTAAACATATTTAAAATGTTAGATTTCATGATTAAGAATAAATAAAATTAATTAATATAAATCACTGTTCGTTATGATGTTTTTATGCCTAAGTTGCACTCGTTAATTTCTTGAAACGCATGCACGAAGGAAGTCCCCAGATTTTTACAAGGCTTGTATAGTTGAACTCAAATGATCTATCTATCTATCTATCTATCTATCTATCTATCTATCTATCTATCTATCTATCTATCTATCTATCTATCTATCTGTGTCTGTCTGTCTGTCTATCTATCTATCTATCTATCTATCTATCTATATGTGTCTGTCTGTCTGTCTGTCTGTCTATCTGTGTTTGTCTGTCTGTCTGTCTATCTATCTATCTGTGTCTGTCTGTCTGTCTGTCTGTCTGTCT